TGGGATGTTTGCACGAGCAGTGGAGAGGACAGCTTCAAGACAGTCAAAGTGGACTGCACCACATAGATTGCGCCAAATAGATTACACCGCATAGATTATACCTCAAGTGTTGCCCCTGCACTGCGTAGATTTCACCACATACATTGCAGCACACATTTTGCATCACGTAGACTGCGCCGGATATATTGCATTGTGTTTGTCGCACCACATAGATTACACTGCATGTATTTGCGATGTGCGTAGGTTAGATTGCACCGCCTATATTGCACTGCGTTTCTTGCAACGCTTAGATTGCACCACATAGATTGCGCCGCATCGACCACATACGTCACACCAAATATTTTGCACCGCGCAGACTGCACCGGATCGATAGCACCACACAGTTTGCACCGCGTAGAGTACATCATATATATATATATATATATACATTGCACTACAGATACTGCACCACATCGGTTGCACCGCATATATATATATATATATATATATATACACCGATTTGTATATGTGTATATGTATGTGTCATTGTGTGTATATATATACATATATATATATGCGTATTTGTATATGTACATATATACATAACGCCGCACCATGCCGATAATGGCTCCGTCGAAGATGCTGCAAAGGGCCTGAGGTCGTAACTCGTACCTCCACCTCCTCTTCCGCGTTCATACACATAGCGCCATAGGTCGGGCTGCTGACCGTGGGGAGAGGGGCCGAAGGTGTGGAGCGAGCCGACGTATCACACCGTGTAGCTTCCTCAGGTTCGTTGCAGCGCCTGCGGCCTCGGTTTCCTTTGCGGTCTCCACCATGCGTCGCCGACGTTCAGCGCGTACAGCTCTGGCGGCCGCCTTCGCAGCCTCGTTGAACGCCGCCTGGAGGAGGACGTGCTGGGCAGACAAGGGGTCAGGATATGAGGCCATGCGTCCCTGGATGCGATGCTTGGTCTCAATGAGTGCGAGGGTCGCGTCATCCAGCTTGTGGCGGTTGATCTTCTTCGTCTGCACGACGCCGTGAGGGGCGGCCGCTTCTATGGGGGTATGTTCCCACGCAATGAAGTGGTGTGATGGTGTCGCGTACTGCTTAGCTTCTCCGCACACATCTGTCCATTGTCCCGTGAGGCCCAGTTGTTCCATCATCGAAAAAAGGTGGACACGCAGGTCGGCGATACGTCGAGGGACGGCCGCATCGGAATCACGAAGGAGCTGGAGGTCCTGGACCAGGGCGTCACGATCCCAGCGAGCTGGTTTGTCTTCAGGAACACGTTCAGCTCGTAGGCCAGCGTGTACCTGTGCTTCCACTGGGTGGTGTTCGCGGTACACTCCGAGACTCACGGGGAGCTTCATTCAAGGCGCTGCGCACTTGCCATAGGAGCTATTCGGCCGAGTACATGTGTAGTCAATGGTAGTCCACCCTCGTCCTTTAGTTTGCTTCCAGGTTCCATTCTGGCGAGTACTCTTTCCGAACGTATTCAGGGCCGTGAGGTGGAAGGTCTGCATGGGCGGTGGCCGTTGGAATTGGTGGCAGCGTAGCATGTCCACTGGCCTGCCAACCCAGAGTGTGGACGGTTCGGCGACATAACAGCGTTCGCATCTATAGTAATCACTAGGGCAACTCGAATCGGACATTGCTGTAAGGCTGCACGACGTGCGTTCCAGTACTTATTTTCGAGGTCACGATGGGCACCAGCTTTGACATGCTGGTCTTCGCCAGTCTTGGCATGACTGACTTCATTGGGAGGGGCATATCCGTCGAGCATGTAGAGGTCCTGTTCAGCTGGTGCTTTACGTGTGAGGCGGCTACCTCGCAATCTAACTTCCAACCAGGTGTGCGAGACTGGAAGTTCCGAAAGAGCAAACACCTGCAGGTCGAAAGCAATGAAGCAGACATCTCTGCTCCTGTTAGTGGTCCTCGAAGCTGGGATGATGCGGTAGCCCCGTGTGGTCCATGGGGTACCGAATTCCAACAACTTGCTTTGCAAGCAAACGATCGTGGCCTTCGCCGCTTTGGCAAGCCGAATAATCTAACCGAATATATCAGCTCTTTGTGAACTTTCGTAGTGGTAGGTTCATAACTTCAGCAGCTCCTTGTGGCGGTGAGCTCTGCGACGGTGACGAGTGTGGTACTTCACGGCGCTGGTGGCCGTCTCAGGTGATGACAATGAGGGTCGTGCTGGTGTCGCTCTCGGGTACGAAGTCGGTGATGAGAATGATCCCGCAGTTCGCGGAGCTAGCACATTACGGTTGTCTGGGAGAAGAGCAGCGGCAGTGGCACGAGTATATCTCTTGCCATGGTACCAGAAACTCTGTTCCAACTACAACACACGCGCTGCCCGTCTAAGGGCCCTCTTGCCTCCCCTGTCCACATCCTCCCTGGAGGCCGTCTCTGGCATTCTTCACACCTGCTCCAGGTTCAGGATCGCTGTGCGACGATCCAGCGCTCATCTCGCCGAACTCAACGTTGGTGTTCTCCCGCAGGCACTCCTGGGCGCCGCGTCGCATGGGCCGCGCGAGAAGGAGCTGTGTCGGTGGGTACGGTCGGGCTGGGACTTGCGACCCAGCACGCCCATAGCGTGCAACATATCAACTGAGCCGTCGAGGCTTCCGCCAGTCTTCCGCCAGTTTCCTTCAGCGGAGGCGGCCTCGTTTTACTTCCGCCGCCTTCCGCTGGCCTTCCGCCTCCTTCCGCCGAGGAACAGGTGGCAACTCCTTCGATCCTCGAAGGCGAGGCCATTTTTGGAACGCCTCATGCATCAACAAACAGCCAGACATGCAGAGGGATCTATTCTTACCTTTCTCGGAGGAGGAGGAGAGGCCGCTCGGGAGCGTCGCCCCTTGGGCAAAGGTTGGCAGATGCAGCACGAGATCATCCCTCCCAGACTCGAGCCAAATATTAACGCAGTCAAACTCCATAGTAAGGAAGCGCTGCTTCATCAAGGCGATCCTTGCGTCCGTGCTTGTTCGGTCCATCTGACGCCCAAGGAGTCTTCAATGGTAAATGGAACTTCCGGGAGTCCTGCATCCTTACCTTGCATTTCTACTATGGGTCTTTACTCCAAGGCATTAAGGAACAAGGCAGCACACCACAAGGGAGCGGGCGGCGGAGGCCCGCGGGAGCATGGCCTGACAGGGCCCCCACGCCGAGAGACCGCTGGCGCCGGCGCTACTGAAATGACCCACATGGGCTCTGATCGGCGGCGACGATAGGGGCGAATAGCCCAGGGGCGGGCATTACAGGTATTCGCCCGGGAGCCTTTTCGAAGACATAGATCATCGGCGCACCTGAATACATGTACTGCTCTCCCCCGGGCTAGTCGCCCCTATCGTCGCCTCTGATCTGAGTGACACATCGGTCGATCTCCACCGAGATGGGGCTGCCCAGGGCCACACCCAGGGGCGTGAGGGCAACCTTAAATCGGGCCTGTCCCTCTACGGGAGGAATATTCAAAAGTAGTCGAAAACTAGTATGGGGACGATGTTCTGACAATTTTGGGATATTCTGAGAGCATTTTCTGAGCATTTTCGATTTTTCGTCCAACATCCCCCTGTAGGGGGACATGCCCGACCTAAGGGCAACCGCGCTTTTCGCGCGCCAGGGCCTGGGCCGTTGGGCTCTGTCCTCCATCTCCCGGGGGCGGCGCTGTTGGAGCGAGAGGGCGCGAGGAAACGGCCGCGCGCCGCGCTTCGCGGGGCGCGTTTGGCGGGGAATCGCTGGGTGACCACAGGATGGGCCTGCCTTCCGCCACCACCACCACAAGTTGGAGGGGGAGGGGGTCCTCCTCCTCCTCCTCCTCCTCCTCCTCCTCCTCCTCCTCCTCTTCGTCCTCCTTCTCCTCGTCCTCCTCCTCTTTCCCCCCTCCAACTTCTGGTGGTGGTGGTGGAAAACAGTCCCATCAACCTAGGATGCCGTGGTCGGCGTTGTCGGGGGGCACCGCGCCAGTTTCGGCCAGACTTTTGGGCCCCAGGGAGGGGGGGGGCACAAAAACCTCCTCCTCCTCCTCCTCCTCCTCCTCCTCCTCCTCCTCGCCTCCTCCTCGCCTCCTGCGAGCTCTGCCTGCGTCGACCGCCGCCCTCCGCGTGCAGACGCGCTGGCCCGTCTGCGGTGCCCGCCCCGCCTCCCCAGACTTCCTGGCGCCGGGATCTGTTCACAGCGGGGACCCCCCAGAGGTCTCGACCATTTTCCCCTCCCGAAGATCCGAGTCTCCAAGCAAAGGGGGCGGTCAGTTGTTTTGGAGGGCTAGCTTCGGCTTCAGGGAGCCCTCAACGGGCCCCGGGACCGTCAAACAAGGACTCGGGAGGAAAGGATGGTCCTGGGGAAACAGGCCAGATCTCCAGGGGCCACGCCTCCAAAGGAGCGCCAGATGTCTGGACTGGGCCGGTTTCTCCCCTCAAGTCGTTTCTTGACGGCCCCGGTGCCTGGCAAGAGCCCTGGAGGCCAGAAGGTGCTAAACGCCATCCTCACAGGCGGCGAGTGTATCCATATCCACGCCCTCGCGGTCAGGATTCCAGGGCGCGATCCCGTGGATGCGCTGTCGCATGGGTACGCTCCGCGCGGGGCATCCGCGACAAAGCCGCCCCGTATCCACGGGGCCACGGTCCAGTGGCCCGGCCCGCGGGGCCGTGGATGCGGCAGGTTCTTGTCGTGCCGACGCGGCGACGACGCCGTCGCGGGCGTTCAAGGCTGAACGCCTCCAGGGGCCCAGAACCGGCCAACATGGAATGGTCTGGCGATCGGGATGCCGCCGACTGCCCACGACTGAACGATCCACGCGGTATCAGAAACCAGCGCCTGGTTCGTGACGACAGGTCGGGGGGCGGCCAAGAGGGGGGCGATGACCAGGGGCGGTTGACATCATGACTCGGGTCACGATGTCTCCTCATGGGCCTCGGGGCATGCTTTGCGACCCCCCCCCCATTCCTGGACGCCCCCGAGATGCATTTTCCGATCACGACGCCCGCGCGACGCAAGGAGTTCTGCCTTCCCCCCCCCCCGAAGAGGCGCCGGCGCGGGGAGACGCGGAGCCGGTTCTGCGAGCAGCGCTCCACCAAGGAGGGGCTTCGCGCAGCCTGCGGGCGACTGCGGCCGAGCGCGGCTCGCCGCGGCCGGGAGGCTTCGTCAGAGGAGAAGCCAGAGTTCCGAATTGGCGCCGAAATCCGAACTCTTCCCTCGCCGATCAACGATCCAGTCGACGGCGAGCGAGGGGGCGAAATGAGAAGGAGAAGGCCTTCTCAGAAGGCGGCGAAACTTCTCAGAAAGCCTCTGGCCTTCTGAGAGGTTTCCTGCGTCTTCGGGGAAGGCTCAGACACCTTCTCAGAAACCCGGGGGACTTCTGAGCCTTCTGGGATGGCTCGCCCCTTCTCACTTCCCCCCAGGGCTCGCCGCCGATCCAGGCAACTCGTTGGGCGGCGGGGGCAGGGTTCGGAGTTCGTCGAGCACGTAGCGAGGTCCGAGCCCTGCTCCCGCCTCCCTTCGGTTCGGGAGAATCGATGGTCGGTACGGGCAGGGTTGGGGCGTCGCCACCTACCGAAGATATGATTCCCCAAACAGTGCTTGCACTTCGGGGCCTCGTGCCTGTTTTCTACGGAGCTCGGCCTGTACGTCGGTCTGGCGGCTGCGTAGTCGCCTTCGCCGCCCTGTCGCCGCCGTCGCCGGCAGTCGCGGCCGTCAGATTGCACCACGTCGATTGCTCTGTGTTGCTTGGCATCGTTTGGCTTTGCTTGCGCAACATGGGTTGCAGCATACACGCACACACATCTATTGCACCGCACATATTGCACCATGGCGAATGCACCATATAGATTGTACGACGTAGATCGTGCAAAATAGACTGCACCACTCAGATTGCACCGCGTCAATTGTACCACATAGACTCACAACACAGGTTGCAAACCATAGGTTGCACCACGTAGATTGCACCACACATACTGCTCCCCAAGTATTGCACAACATTGATTGCATCACGACGTCGATTGCATCGCATAGACTGTCCCATAAAGGTTGCGCCACATAGGCTGCACCGCATATATTGCACAACGTCGATTGCAGCACATATATGGCGAATTGCATATCTTGCAGCGCATAGCTTGCACCACATAGAGAGCTCCACACATATTGCTCCGCACATGTTGTACCACATAAGCTGCACCACATAGATGGCTCCACAAATATTGCACAACATATTCTGCACAACATAAGTTGCACACCGTACATTGCACATGATGTATTGCACAACGTGAATTCCACCACTGAGATTGCACCACCTAGATTGCTCCATCTAGATTGACCGTTGCGACAGGTAGCACGCCCCGTCTTCTTCACGTCAAGTTTACGTGGTGACTCACGAAGCTCAGACGCGTGGTGGCTGCCATCAGTTGTTAAGCTTTCATTGCCACGGCTGCGGGGGAACAACAATTGTCGCTCACCTTGATGCGCAACACCTGTTTCTAGAAGCACACTGTTTGGGGTCCACGCTGGCTAACAGTTCTGAAGTTCCAGCGATTGAATGTCGATCTTGGCGTCTGTGGCCCCGTGTCGGGCCCCAGGGCCATGATAAACATATCAATATATCCAGGACTACGGTCGGGCACTTTTGGATAGCGTGTTGCTCCGCCAGTTCGTTCTGGCCCACCCGGCATCGGCGCGACACGCTATCCATTTCGTGGTCCCGAGGCGTCACCGTCCCGAACTGTTACCCGGTTCCCGCCCCGCGGAGCGGAGCGACACGCTATGCGCTTGCAGGGGATAGCAAGGAGTGTGCATTATATATGCACGTTTCGGGGAAACATAAGGCTCGAGCACGGCGGAACTCGGGCTGGCCGAGGTTTTTCACGATCACGGCCTGGATTTTGACGGCCCAGTTTTCGTGGGATGTTTGCAGCGGGAACTCGCCTCAGATTGCAGACTGGGTCTCGTAATTTTCATGATGGCCTCGTCAGGCTAATCCGAGTCCCCCGAACTCGAGTCTTACGTCCTTCCGATGTTTTTTTGTCAGTTGTACTATGCTCTTACATGCATGTCTGTATACAATGTGTTTGTTTTTATATACGTCATACAAGCAAATATATAGTACACATGTATACATATAAATATAGAGAGAGGCAGAGAGAGAGGGAGGGAGGGGAGGGTGGGGGAGGGAGGGAGGGAGGAAGGGAGGGACACACATCTACATATGTATATATTTACACACAAGACTGCATTGGCGCTTCACGACATGCACCTTGGTCCTTGAAGTTCGGCATGCAGGCTGAATAGCAGGAAGGTCAAGCCGACAATTTAGCGATAACTCCTTATTGCCTTTTCTGGCATCGCCGTTGTAATAATGTTTTTCGTTATCCTTCCTCCATGTTTGTTTTTCCTCATTATCGCCCGTATTCTCCCAATCGTCATCGGCTCTTTTTGTGGAGGCTCGTCGTTGGAGAGCCTCTGGGGGCCTCACACAAGTTTTTCAGGCTTTCTTGAGGCCTTCCGGAGACCTCCTGGGCGTCTTCTGGGGGCCTCTGGGGGCTTCCTCGGGCCACCCTGCCTCCAACCGCGGTCTCCCTGATCGACCAGGTCACGATTTGGAATGCTTCAGAGGGTGTCTTGGGGCCATCTTGGGCCGTCATGGGGCTCTCTTAGGCCATCCTGGAACCCTGTTGTGCCGTCTTGGGGCTCTCTTGGACTGCCTGGAAGCCCTTCCGGATGGTTGTGGGGCGATTTTCGAACCTCCCAGGCGGCTTCGGACGCCCAGAAGACCGCCGTCTTGGAGCGTCGAGAAGCCGAAAAGAGGAGAGCCCCCAAATTCACCAAAAACCATCAGGGAATCAGTAATGTTTGCCTCTTGGGACCTTCTTGGGAGTCCTCTTGGAGGCTTCTTGGGACGTTTTGGAGCGATCTTTGTGGGTATGATGGGTTCTTTGGGGCCGTCGTGGATCGTCTTGAGGCTCTCTGGGGTAGTTTCGGGAGCGCGCCAGAACGCCTGGAGCCCTCTGGGGCCGTGTTCGGCCTCTTGTGGGGTTCTCTCGGGTCGTCTGGAGGGTTGTCCGAGAGGCCCGGGGTGGGCCGAAATCGTTCGGTGTGGGGTGTGTGTGGGGGGCTTTTTCTGGGGCCCTCGGCCTTCTTGAAACATTATCCTGACGACGTACCCAACCCCTGCGCAATGCCGGGCAGAAGTAGCTTGGGAGATTTGACGAGAAGGCGGCGACGTGACATGGACGCATATACTTCTGCCAGCGGAAACACGATGAGAAACTAAGTGAACCCCTGAGTCACTAAGGAAGACGCAAGGTCCAAAAGGAGACGGTGGGCGAGGGGCTTGAAACGTCGGCGGGGCAGCAACAGCATGACATGGTCCCCCAATGACGGCGAGGCCCCGCTCAGATCTGCTCAGTGCTTCAGTCCGCAGGACCCACCAGCAGGCCTTCAAAGTGGCGACAACTTCGCAGATCGCAGGCCCCCAAGGGACGCGGAGGTCCTGCTGAGGTCCGCGCGGTGCCTCACTCGGCTAGACCCACCAGCAGCTCTCGAAAGAAGCGACAGTGTCGCAGATCGCAGACCCCCACATCCGCGCGGTGCCTCGCTCCGCTTGACCCACCAGCAGCCCTCGAAAGTGGCGACCCAGGGACGGCGAGGTCCCGCTCAGATCGCCGCGGTGCCTCACTGGACCCACCATCAGCCTTCGAAAGTGGCGACAGTTTCACAGATCGCAGCCCGCCAGGGACGGCGAGGTCCTGCTCGGATCTGCGCGGTGCCTCGCTCCGCTGGGCCCACCAGCAACCCTCGAAAGTGGCGACAGTGTCGCAGATCGCAGCCCCCCCAGGACGGGGAGGTCCCGCTCAGATCTGCGCGGTGCCTCACTCCGCAGGACCCAAAAGCAGCCCTCGAAAGTGGCGAAAGTGTCGCAGATCGCAGCCCCCCAGGGACGGCGAGGTACTGCTCAGATCCCCGCGGTGCCTCACTCCGCAGGACCCACCAGCAGCCTTCGAAAGTGGCGACAGTGTCGCAGATCGCAGCCCGCCAGGGACGGCGAGGTCCCGCTCAGATCTCCGCGTTGCCCCACTCCGCAGGACCCACCAGCAGCATTCGAAAGGGGCGACAGTTTCGCAGAATGTAGCCCCCCAGGGACGGGGAGGGTCCGCTCAGGTCCGCGCGATGCCTCACTCCGCTGGACCCACCAGCAGCTAAAGTGGCGACAGTGTCGCAGATCGCAGCCCCCCCCCAAGGCAAGGCAAGATGAGACAAAACGGAGGGGGGGCGGGGGGCGGGATGCAGGAGGCTGGAGGAGGAGCAGGGAGCCGCGACCGCGGTGCTCTATGTAAAACGGTTACCAAACCAAGGAGGTTTGGGAAATTACCCTGGCGACGTACCCAACCCTTGTGCAATGCGGGGCAGAAGTACATCAGGATTGCCACAGCGGGGGCGATGACGTAACATGGACGCATGTGATTTTGCGAGCAGCAGTCGGAAGGCTCGCAGGCCCCCGATCAAGATCTAAAGGCAACGAAACAACACATCACCCCCGTTGGCTGTGCCATGCGCTTCCTTTGCACCCACCGAATCCCGCGGCAGCTTTTGAGAGCCCCCGCAGGATACGTGCGGGCGCAACGTTATGGCCATCGCCTGGCAGATGGCCTGTTTCACACATGACCCCCGTTGGCTAACGCATCCCGCAGCAGCGCCCCAGAGCCCCGTTTTGGCCCCCAGCAGCAGCTAACGCATGACCCGTTTGGCAGTGGCGCCGTTTGCGCCTAACGCATCCCGCAGCAGCTCCCCAGAGCCCCCCCAGGGACGGCGAGATCCCGTTCAGACCCCCGCGGCACCTCACTCCGCAGGACCCACCAGCAGCCCCCGAAAGTGGCGACAATGTCGCAGATCGCAGCCTCCAGGGGCGGCGAGGTCCCGCTCGGATCCCCGCGGTGCCTCACTCCGCAGGACCCACCAGCAGCCCTCGAAAGTGGCGACAGTGTCGCAGATTGCAGCCCCCCAGGCACGGCGAGGTCCCGCTCAGATCCCCGCGGTGCTTCACTCCGCAGGACCCACCAGCAGCCCCCGAACGTGGCGACAGTGTCTCA